CTCTCACACACACGCACTCACACTCACACCCCTCACACACACACCACTGACTCACTCACCACACACACTCTCTCACACACACGCACTCACACTCACACACACACACCCCTCACACACACACCACTGACTCACTCACCACACACTACTCACACACACACCACACTCCTCACACACCATAAACACTCACTAACCACACACACACCACACACACACCACTCACACACACACCACACACACCACACACTCCACTCACACACACACACCACACTCCTCACACACCATAAACACTCACTCACCACACACACACACACCACACACACACCACTCACACACCACAACCACACTCACTCACTCACCACACACTCCTCACACACCACACACACACCACTCACACCACTCACACCACTCACACCACACACACACACCACACACACACCACACACACCACTCACACCACACACACACCACACACTCACTCACCACACACACCACACTCACACCCCACACACCACTCATACACACACCACTCACACACACCACTCACACACACGCTCTCACACACACGCACTCACACTCACACCCCTCACACACACACCACTGACTCACTCACCACACACACTCTCTCACACACACGCACTCACACTCACACACACACACCCCTCACACACACACCACTGACTCACTCACCACCCACTACTCACACACACACCACACTCCTCACACACCATAAACACTCACTAACCACACACACACCACACACACACCACACACATCACTCACACACACACACCACACTCCTCACACACCATAAACACTCACTCACCACACACACACACACCACACACACACCACTCACACCCCACAACCACACTCACTCACTCACCACACACTCCTCACACACCACACACACACCACTCACACACACCACACACACACCACACACACACACCACTCACACCACTCACACCACACACACACCACACACTCACTCACCACACACACCACACACACCACTCACACCACACACACACCACACACACACACCACTCACACCACACACACACCACACACACCACTCACACCACACACACCACACACACCACTCACACCACACACACACCACACACACACCACACACCACACACACACACCACTCACACCACACACACCACACACACCACACACACACCACACACACCCCACGCGGCCACCACAGGGTGACTCGCTCGCTCGCTGCATTCCACTCACAGACCACACTCACTCACTCACAACACACACCACACACACTACTCACACACACACTACTCACACATCACATACACACCACACACACACACCACTCACACCACACACACTACTCACACACACTACTCACACACCACACTCACTCACCACACACACACTACACACACTCGCACACTCACAACACACACACTACTCACACACCACACTCACTCACCACACACACACACCACACACGCACACCACACACTCACTCACCACACACACTCACAACACACACCACACACACACTACTCTCACACACTACTCTCACACCACACTCACCACACACACACCACACACTCACAACACACACTCACAACACACACACATACTCTCACACACTACTCACACACCACACTCACCACACACACCACACACGCACACCACACACACTCACTCACCACACACACTCCTCACACACCACACACACACTACACACACTCACCACACACCACACACACACTACTCTCACACACTACTCACACACCACACTCACTCACCACACACACACACCACACACTCACAACACACAACACACACACACTACTCTCACACACTACTCACACACCACACTCACTCACCACACACACACACACCACACACGCACACCACACACACTCACTCACCACACACACTCCTCACACACCACACACACACTACACACACACTACTCACACACCTCACACACCACACTCACCACACACACCACACACCACTCACCACACACACCACTCACACCATTCACACACCACACCACTCACTCACAAAGACCCCCCCCCCCGTACAGCCTGAATAGACTGTTAGCGAGCACTTAAGACTGGCACGATACACGAGGGGGTGGATGGGCAGCGCCACGCACGACCGCCTTAGTCTTCCTAGTGGTGATGTTTATATACCACACCAGGTACCCATTTGAGGCTGAGTCGACCTAGGGGAGGCCCAGGACCGGTTCAGATAATCGTCACTGGTGTTGGCGGTGAGCGGCAATCGAACCCGGGTCGCCAGGTTTGTAGCGCAGCGTAGCGCTAACCGCTACACTACCGCTTCCCAATACCAGTCAGCCCTACATGCACACAACAACAACAACCGTCATTCGCCACTAAGTGGCGGTGACGTCACCACGACGCTTGTGCCAGGCCAGGTGCACCTTGAGGCCACAGTCACCCCGACACACACCAGTTACCGCACACAGTAACACTGCGCCCTCTCCAACCACACCACATCGATTACCAATCACACCACATCGATTACCAATCACACCACATCGATTACCACTCATACCACATCGATTACCAATCACACCACATCGATTACCACTCACCACTCACACCACATCGATTACCAATCACGCCACATCGATTACCACTCACCACTCACACCACATCGATTACCAATCACACCCCATCGATTACCACTCACACCACATCGATTACCAATCACACCACATCGATTACCACTCACACCACATCGATTACCACTCACACCACATCGATTACCACTCACACTCACCACTCACACCACATCGATTACCACTCACACCCACCACTCACACCACATCGATTACCACTCACACCCACCACTCACACCACATCGATAACCACTCACCACTCACACTACATCGATTACCACTCGCACCACATCGATTACCCCCCCCCCTTACCGCATGACATACACCACCGCTCATGCCACGTCCGTGAGTGAGCACGTGACCGAGGCGTGCGTCACGCACATTCGAGTCGCCACTCGCCCCCCCACTCCGCACAGCAGCAGCAGCGGGCAGCAGTCACCCAACACAGCACACCCAGCTCACCACACTCACCAGCACACTCACCACACTCACCACCCTCACCAGCACACTCACCACACTCACCAGCAGCTCACCACCAGCTCACCACATTCACCACCCTCACCAGCACACTCACCACACTCACCAGCAGCTCACCACACTCACCACCCTCACCAGCACACTCACCACACTCACCAGCACACTCACCACATTCACCACCCTCACCAGCACACTCACCACACTCACCAGCACACTCACCACACTCACCACCCTCACCATCACACTCACCACACTCACCAGCACACTCACCACACTCACCAGCACACTCACCACACTCACCACCCTCACCAGCACACTCACCACACTCACCAGCACACTCACCACACTCACCACACTCACCACCCTCACCAGCACACTCACCACACTCACCGGCACACTCACCACACTCACCACCCTCACCAGCACACTCACCACACTCACCAGCACACTCACCACACTCACCACACTCACCACCCTCACCAGCACACTCACCAGCACACCCCACACACCCCTCCACCAGCTCAACACCAGCTCACCAGCAGCTCACCACCAGCTCACCACACTCACCACACTCACCAACACACTCAACACACTCACCAGCACACTCACCACCACACTCACCACACTCACCACACTCACCAACACACTCACCACACTCACGAGCACACTCACCACACTCACCACCCTCACCAGCACACTCACCACACTCACCACCCTCACCAGCACACTCACCACACTCACCAACACACTCACCACACTCACCAGCACACTCACCACACTCACCACTCTCACCAACACACTCACCACACTCACCAACACACTCACCACTCACCAGCACACTCAACACACTCACCACCCTCACCAGCACACTCACCATACTCACCACCCTCACCAGCACACTCACCACACTCACCAACACACTCACCATACTCACCAGCACACTCACCACACTCACCACCCTCACCAGCAGCTCACCAGCAGCTCACCACACTCACCAGCACACTCACCACACTCACCAGCACACTCACCAGCAGCTCACCACACTCACCAGCACACTCACCAGCACACTCACCAGCACACTTACCACACTCACCACAATTACCACACTCACCAGCACACTCACCACACTCACCAGCAGCTCACCAGCAGCTCACCACACTCACCAGCAGCTCACCACACTCACCACCAACTCACCACACTCACCACCAACTCTCCACACTCACCACAATCACCACCAACTCACCAAACTCACCACAATCACCACCAACTCACCACATTCACCACCAACTCTCCACAATCACCACACTCACCACACTCACCACCAAATCACCACACTCACCACCAACTCACACTCACCACCAACTCCCCACACTCAACCAGCAGCTCACCACACTCAACCAGCAGCTCACCACACTCCCCACCAGCTCACCACCACTGCCAGCTTCAACACCTCACCACGAAGCTCACCTTGCACCGCCCCTAGCTCTCCCTCCACCCCATTCCACCCTCCCCACTCCAACTCACCATTCACGAATGGGCTCACCCCTGCAGAGCCGAGCTCACCACCTCACCCCTCACCACCCCTCCCCACCCCTCCCCTCCCCACCCCTCCCCTCCCCACCCCTTCCCTCCCCACCCCTCCCCTCCCCACCCTCGGGACGAGGCGTCACCATAAGGGCCCCCCCCGCCCCCCGCCCCCTGGCGCGCGCCGATCTTTCGCAATGGACCAGCTGACGTCACCGCCCTTTAACAGCTGACGGCGCCGCCCTTTAACAGCTGACGGCGCCGCCCTTTAACAGCTGACGGCGCGGGCCGAGGCGCGTCACTCGCGAAGTTGCGCGCGAGGAGCGGAGGAGCCGAGGTGAGCGCCTCCCGGACAGCACCCGCACCACTCGGCATCGTCACCATCCCATCATCATCAGCAGCAGCATCATCATCAGCAGCACCATCATCATCAGCAGCACCATCATCATCATCAGCAGCATCATCATCAGCATCATCATCAGCACCATCATCATCATCAGCACCATCATCAGCACCATCATCAGCAGCATCATCATCAGCACCATCATCATCATCAGCACCATCATCAGCACCATCATCATCAGCAGCACCATCATCAGCACCATCAGCAGCACCGTCACCATCAGCAGCATCACCATCATCAGCATCAGCAGCACCATCATCAGCATCAGCAGCACCATCATCAGCATCATCAGCACTACTGCCATCATAATCACCAAGCACAACGATCCCCCTCATAGCCTTCAGTAGACTGTTGGGTCACGCGTTGTTAGCGAGCTGCCCCTGAAGGCCGCTACGGCACGCGGCCGCCTTTGTCTCCCCAATGACGATGTTTTTACACATCGCACCAGGTACTCATTTGAGGCTGAGTCGGCATAGGGGAAGCCCAGGACCGGTTCAGATAATCGTCACTGGTGTTGACCGTGAGCGGGAATCTAACTCGGGTCGCTGGGTTCATAGGGCAGCGCTAACCACTAAACTACGCACGAAAAGTTGATGGTTAAGTTTAATTTACTGTACGCATGTGTATGAATGTTGAACTTCTTTCGCACCGTACGTAGCCAACCGTGCTAATCACCGCCATCAACACCGTCATGAACACCATCATCACCATCGCCCGCCACCTCGACCATGAACACCACCACCGCGACCATCCGGGACAGACTCTCAACTCGTCATCAGCCATGATCAATCCACTGCTGGATGAAGGCCTCCTAAAGCCGTCGCCGTCTCTCACGACCCTGCGATGTCGTGACGATCCACCGGTCACCTCGCTCCATCTCCTCGCGCTCGATCAACCCTGGCCTGCGACTCCGTCACGAGTCGTGACCGTGTCGCCGCCGACTGCTCTCCACGCTGGGCCGAGTTAATGATCGGCTCGCACGCCGCTCCACTGCGGTGTTGTTCATCTCTCATGCAGCTCATGTAAGTTGAAATCACCGAACGCGCTCGTTTCGCCTGTGGAGCGGTGGCACAGTGATTAGGCGAACTGAGCGGTGACGTCTGGTCAAAGAAGGCTCACGACCGAGGCGGCGTGGGGTGGCCTTCATCCAGCAGTCGATTGACGGAGCTGCGATTTGTCTGATTGTTGATGTTACGTACAGATTGGGGTGTGTGCATCGGTTCAATGCAACGTCGTCTCGAGACGTCGTCTCAAGACGCCGTGCTGCCCGAGCGCAGGGCAGGGCCGGGGAGTCGAGAGCACGGATGTCTGGAGTTCTAAACTTGAGAGTGCGTGGAGGGGAGTGGAGTGAGATGAGAGAGGAGAGGTGGGAGAGTGCGTGGAGGGGAGTGGAGATTGGAGGGGAGAGGTGGGAGAGTGCGTGGAGGGGAGTAGAGTGAGATGAGAGGGGAGAGGTAGGAGAGTGCGTGGAGGGGAGTGGAGTGAGATGAGAGGGGAGAGGCAGGAGAGTGCGTGGAGTGAGATGAGAGGGAGAGGTAGGAGAGTGCGTGGAGGGGAGTGGAGTGAGATGGCAGGGGAGAGGTAGGAGAGTGCGTGGAGGGGAGTGGAGTTTGGAGGGGAGAGGTAGGAGAGTGCGTGGATGGGAGTAGAGTGAGATGAGAGGGGAGAGGTAGGAGAGTGCGTGGAGCGGAGTAGAGTGAGATGGGAGGGGAGAGGTAGGAGAGTGCGTGGAGGGGAGTAGAGTGAGATGAGAGGGGAGAGGTAGGAGAGTGCGTGGAGGGGAGTGGAGTGAGATGAGAGGGGAGAGGGAGGGGAGTGGAGTGAGGTGGGAGAGTGCGTGGAGGGGAGTAGAGTGAGATGAGAGGGGAGAGGTAGGAGAGTGCGTGGAGGGGAGTGGAGTGAGTTGGGAGGGGAGGGGAGGAGGCCAATTGACCCACCATAGGGGACTTGAGAACCCGCTCTGATTAAACTCTTTACGCAGCGGTGGCGTGGGGCAAGCACTTTCAGGGCTGTCCCTGATGCGCCTGGGCATCGCCTCCTTCCCCCTGCCAGAAACACACCGCGTGGCAATGAGCGAAACTCGCGTGTACAGCAACACGCCGCGCTACGAACCGGCAACTCCCGAGTTCGATTCCCGCTCACGACCAACACACCATTAACGATCTATGTATGAGCCGGTGTTTGGGCTCCCCTAGGTCGACTCCGCCTCAAATGGGTACCTGGTGCGGTGTGTAAACATCGCCACGGTGTTGGGCTCCCCCCACCCCATCGTGTGCCGTTTGCCGACCTTCATGGGTAGCAACTTGTCCTTAAAACAAAGTCTGTTTAAGGCGATGCGGGAGGGGATCTTTGTCTTTGGGGAGAGAGGGTGGCGGCGGTGGCTGCTGCGGGTGGGGGAGTTGAGTTATTCGCGAGCCGTGTTTGCTCGCCGTGGTGACATCATCTCCGCGATGACTAAGAATCCCATGATTACGAGGCCTTGTAAGGCGCACGCACGCACGCACCACGCGCGTGCGCGCTGTGCGCCTTTAAGGCCGCCACGGGGTTTGGCCCAGATACGGGAGAGCCGCCGAAACAGGGAGAGAGAGATGGGGGGGGGGGGTGTTCTTCTTCACGGGGTGTTCTGTTTTTGCGAAGTGAACGGAGAGATCCGTGGTGGAACGTGACTCACTGCTCCAACTTGCGTTGTAGTGGGAAACGGATTCCTTGCGCAAAACAAGGAATACGTTCAATATTTTTTTTAAACAGTTCAAGCCGCTACTGGATTGTTCAGCCTGTCCGGACCCAGCCCCCACCCCGGATCAGTCCCCGGGGGTTGTTTGACCATACTTCACCACCCTGGTCAGTGGGGATTTATTTAAATAATGTTTACTTTGTTTAGGGCAGTTACATATGTACCGTATGGCTACATTACTCAGCATACTTAAAATCCAGAACCGCGCACACACAATCATAATCCATTGATTAATCACATCGTGGCATCATCATCATCTTGGGCGTATTAATCAAGGTTCGATATTTCGAGTGCCTCGTCTGCCCATCCCACCCTGCAGCGGGGTTGGAGTGAATATTTTCCGGACCTTCGCCCCAGGCAGCTCCGGTTGCAATTGAAGCCACAGGTACTGTGCGTGTAATCACTTTTTCGAGATTGACATCAGAGCTCGCACTGTATATGCACCACCATGTGACACGTCCACAGCAGCAGCAGCAGCCTCCAAGATCTGAGGCAGACGTCACGTGACTTCATGCGACTCCGAATTAAACCTCGCCTGGTGTTGAAGGAGGTCGCGGGTTCGATCCCGACCCTGACGCCTGCTGCTGCTACAAATCGCCACGTGATGAGCCACATCGTCGAGCTATCGTTTGTGGCCAGGTGGCTTCTGGGACAGAGCTAGGTAGCTCAGTGGGCATTACTTGGTAAAATAAAACATAGTTTAGTTTATATCGATATGACTCGTCGCGAGGTGCTTAGTTTCACTCTGAATGCGTAAAAGTTTATGTTTTTTACATTGCACGCGCCGCTGAGTAAATAAAGATACGGCAATGCCCGGTTTGCGTCCGGGGATGCGTTCCTCAAAGGTGCGACGACGAATATCGAAACGACGTTCATCGAAGCGATTTACAGGGTGGGGGCAGTGGGTGGTGGAGGCAGTGGGTGGTGGGGGTGGTGGTGGGGGCAGTGGGTGGGGGTGGTGGTGGTGGAGGCAGTGGGGGGTGGTGGTGGAGGCAGTGGGTGGTGGGGGTGGTGGTGGGGGCAGTGGGTGGGGGTGGTGGTGGTGGAGGCAGTGGGGGGTGGTGGTGGGGGCAGTGGGTGGGGGTGGTGGTGGGGGCAGTGGGTGGTGGAGGCAGTGGGTGGTGGGGGTGGAGGCAGTGGGTGGTGGGGATGGTGGTGGAGGCAGTGGGTGGTGGGGGTGGTGGTGGAGGCAGTGGGTGGTGGGGGTGGTGGTGGGGGCAGTGGGTGGTGGGGGTGGTGGTGGAGGCAGTGGGTGGAGGTGGGGGTGGGGGCAGTGGATGGTGGGGGTGGTGGTGGAGGCAGTGGGTGGAGGTGGTGGTGGGGGCAGTGGGTGGAGGCAGTGGGTGGTGGGGGTGGTGGTGGTGGGGGCAGTGGGTGGTGGGGGTGGTGGTGGGGGCAGTGGGTGGTGGGGGCAGTGGGTGGTGGGGGTGGTGGTGGAGGCAGTGGGTGGAGGTGGTGGTGGGGGCAGTGGGTGGAGGCAGTGGGTGGTGGGGGTGGTGGTGGTGGGGGCAGTGGGTGGTGGGGGTGGTGGTGGGGGCAGTGGGTGGTGGGGGCAGTGGGTGGTGGGGGTGGTGGTGGGGGCAGTGGGTGGTGGGGGCAGTGGGTGGTGGGGGTGGTGGTGGAGGCAGTGGGTGGAGGTGGTGGTGGGGGCAGTGGGTGGTGGGGGTGGTGGGGGCAGTGGGTGGTGGGGGTGGTGGTGGAGGCAGTGGGTGGAGGTGGGGGTGGAGGCAGTGGGTGGAGGTGGGGGTGGAGGCAGTGGGTGGAGGTGGTGGTGGGGGCAGTGGGTGGTGGGGTGGTGGTGGAGGCAGTGGGTGGAGGTGGGGGTGGAGGCAGTGGGTGGAGGTGGGGGTGGAGGCAGTGGGTGGTGGAGGTGGTGGTGGAGGCAGTGGGTGGAGGTGGGGGTGGAGGTGGGGGTGGAGGCAGTGGGTGGTGGGGGTGGTGGAGGCAGTGGGTGGGGGTGGTGGTGGAGGCAGTGGGTGGGGGTGGTGGTGGAGGCAGTGGGTGGTGGGGGTGGTGGTGGAGGCAGTGGGTGGTGGGGGTGGTGGAGGCAGTGGGTGGTGGGGGTGGTGGTGGAGGCAGTGGGTGGTGGGGGTGGTGGTGGAGGCAGTGGGTGGTGGGGGTGGTGGTGGAGGCAGTGGGTGGTGGGGGTGGTGGTGGAGGCAGTGGGTGGTGGGGGTGGTGGTGGAGGCAGTGGGTGGCGGTGGGGGGCGACGGATGACGAGAAAGGGCGGACGTTGACGCTGTCGGCGACGTCGGCGTGGGGTTGAGGCGACGCAAATCGGGGAGCGGCGTTCACGAGGAAGCGACGACGCGTTTACGAAACGACGTGACAGGTGGGAGACAATGATGACCAATCATGGTAACGTGATCATTGACAGGCCTTAATCCACTGCTGGATGAGAGGCCTCAGTCGTCGAGGGGCTGTTTGACCATACTTCACCACGCCGGTCAATGCGGGTTTGTATTGTGGGGGGGGGGGGGGGTACGCACCGGTTCAAATATCGAACCCGCCACTGATGTCGGTTTAGTTTGCTAGCTGTGGCTGGGAGTCGGAGTGCGCTAACCGCTGCGCCACCGCTCCGATAGAGAAGTTGAATGCTAGGGCGCGTGACACCACCACGCTCACCGCCATCGTTCCCCCACCGCTCGCCCACGCTTCCGCTTATGATGATGATGGCAAGTCCACGTTCCCATGGAGGGAGCGAGGATTTCCTTCATTGAAGTATTTGCATATTTACATTTAAATTAAGTTTTACACAAATGGTAGCCTCATCGACCCCAGAGGAAGGAAGTTTGATGGTGGTAATTAGGTGATGGCGTTGATGATGGTGGTAATTAGGTGATGGTGATGATGGTGGTGGTAATTAGGTGATGGTGATGATGGTGGTGGTAATTAGGTGATGGTGGTAATTAGGTGATGGTGTTGATGGTGGTGGTAATTAGGTGATGGCGTTGATGATGGTGGTAATTAGGTGATGGTGATGATGGTGGTATTTAGGTGATGGTGGTGGTAATTAGGTGATGGTGTTGATGATGGTGGTAATTAGGTGATGGTGGTAATTAGGTGATGGTGTTGATGGTGGTAGTTAGGTGATGGTGTTGATGATGGTCATGGTGGTAACGATGGTGGTGACAATGGTGATGATGATGATGATGGGGGAGCGGTGGTGTAGCGGTGAGCGCGCTTCGCTACAAACCCGGCGACTCGAGTTCAAGTCCCGCTCACGGCCAACACCGGTGACGATTATTTGAACCGGTCTTGGGCCTCCCCTAGGTCGACTCAGCCTA